GTTGTTCTTCAAATAAGCACTTATGAAACGTCGGTTTTTTAATCAAAATAATCCAATAATTATTATAACATAGAATATAATTATCGCTTCAGCTTTTTTAAAGAGCCCTAACCATTATTGGTTAAACTCGTTTCGCTGGCTTATCGTACAAGACAAATACCATGCCAAGGAGTCTCGTGGTGGTAGAAGTACAGGTGAATCGCCAACATCACCAGAATTTTTGGAGGACATTAAAGTTTTATTCCTGCGGGAAATAGAACTTCAGAATAAGCGCTCAATTCAGCAATTCAGCAACCACCCACTAAATTATTTTTCCCTGCAATTATCACTTCAATAAATTTAATAAATGTAAAAAATTAGTCGAAAGAATGCTTTTTTTTCTTTAAGCATATTAATTATAAGTTTAAACTAAACTTTAACTGTACACTTAGATTTATCATAAATTAGAAAAATAAAACCGCTTTTTGCGTAAAAAATTTTATTAGTCGATTGCGTTTGCCTATAAATTTTTTAATTTTGTAGTTTAAATTCTAAGGTTTAATGAATAGATATTATTAAAACTTTGCTATCATCAATTACTGAAACAAGCCATCTAAACGCGCAAATTGCATCCAAACCCACTTCCATGTCTCATACTTATCAGCTTATTATCAGCTTTTATAGCTTCAATCTGCCGATCTTGATGAATGGCCGTTATTATGAATATATCGTATTATCATCCAAATACTATCGAGTAGATAAATCATGGTAAATCATTGATAGGATCGGTAAAATTTGCCAGACTGAATGAATGAATAAATTTGCAGAGAATTAATAAAAGAAATTTTTAACATAATGAATATAAGAGAATTTGATCTGCTTAAATTTTCATTAATCTTTTTTTTATGTATTTTTTGTTCTCCTTTCGACTAGTTGCATCTACTGGTGGTTAGAATGAGACTTTTTCGCAAGATGGTACTTATAAGATAGTACCATAGTAACGATGTCAGTTGGACTTCAGTTTTGCTGAAAAGTTTTTTTACGTCATTAGACAAAAATCGTATTCATATTCACTCAGCTGAAGCAACATACCATTCGACATTTCGACATTTTTCAACTATTTATGGATGAGCTAAATTTATTTGTTACTAGAATAGGATACTTTTATAATGAAATCACTTGATGAACAGGATAATATCATTGGTTGTCCTCCATAGAATTTTTAAATTTTCTGTGACAACCATTTTGATCGAAATTCGATAGCTAAATTGGTCCAATTTATCATCCGAATTTTTACTGATTTTTTACTAACTTCTTACTGGTTGTAAATTTTCATTTTCTCGATTTTAACGACTTCTAAATATTAAAAAAAAAGGACAAAAAATTCTTTAAAATTTCAGTTAGAGAATTTAATGGAATTAAATTGAATTTTATTTCTTTATGGAGTGGAATGTCTCAGTTACGGGCGCGTTGTTTCCCTTATTTTGTAGGGCTGATATTGGGATTTCACTCTCAGCCTTATCTTCCAAAAATCCTAGTGACGCTAGCGACTCACTTTTACTCCTTTTGTGATTCTCTAACAAAATTTGTGTGTTTTGTGTTATAAGTAAGCGAGGTGAGCCTAAGCGTAAAATGGTGAGTGATTATAGAAAATTTTGTTTTTTGTGGTATTAGACTTTCATTTGAAAAATACATTTATAAAAATACATTTTGTATGAACTAATTATTTTCCAAATCTTGAATTATCGTAGATTTATTTACAGAATTATTAGCTGAAAATTCCAAATTCCAAATATATGAAAATAACTTTATCAATATCAACTTTATCAAGTCAACAAAGCATTTTATATTGGAAAACTTGCATCAGCGAATAAATTTAAAAGAGCAGAATTTTTTCCCGGGCAACATTGTATTATAAATTGATATAAATTAATAAAGTTATATATATATATAAATTAATATGATTTTATAAATTTAATACGATTTTTCGATATGGGATTTGATTATTTTTCAATATATTAGCATATAATATAATTCAACACGGCCAATATACGGCAATTATGCACAAGTAAAAAATTTAAAATTCAAAGAAAGAATTTAAATACGACAAAAAACCTTAGAAAACTTTAAAGAGGAATGCTTAAATGGCAATGCTTCTCTTTTTTTTTTTTAGCTACACGTTTTTGAGACCATTTTAAATTCAAAATATATCTGTTTTTTTTCGCTACTAAAATAAAATTTAAGACTGACACAAACGCGTTAGTTAATTAAGATTAGATATTTTTATATTGTGCCAATTTGATTGTAATTATTGAAACGGCAATTAATGAGCATAAATTTTCTAAGCCATTCGAATATGCAATCATACTAACCGAAAACGCCTTTGAGATCCAAAAAAATAAAACGCAAAACATGATGAATGAGTCCATTTGCAAAGATTGATGAGGGAATGTAAGCAGATGGATGGTTGAATATATAAATAAAAAATACAATAAAATTTTCAACTAACCTACAGAATACTTATAAACTTTCATTACTCATGATTTCTGTATATTCAGAAACCAGTTACCAGTTTGCCATAAATCATCCGAATAAACCGATGCTTAAACCGAAAGCAGTACTTTAAAAAGTGGCTAAGAAAGAGAGGTAACATTTCTAAATAGCTGCACATTCAGCGAGTTCAGTGGTTAAGAAACAAAGCAAACAGAAGAAATTAAATAATTTTTATCAATTTTTATCACTCAGATCAGATAGTTAAAAATAGCTTGGAATTGGAAATGCTTGGTTTTTTTTTGCTGTTTGTACGTCCTTCTGGTATTTATTCCAATATGTGGTCAATAGGACTCGAATAAAGGACACTTCGTTATTTCCCTATTAAATAAAAATTGAACAAACGAAGGCTAAGAAAGTTCTTAATTTTCTTCAAATGGAGTATTCTTAGCCCAAATTTAAAACTTTGGTTTTTCTAAGGATATAAAGTTTTTTTGAAAAAAAATGGCATTCTGAAATTCTTTCTTTCTTTCTTTGAAGATAGTATTTTAGATTTCAATAGATTTTTAGTTGGCCAATTTGCAATGTGCAATGTGCAAAAAGAAATGAGTTTTATCGAAAATCTAAATGGATAAAATAATTTTCGCACATAATAAATTGCAAATAGATAAGCCAAAAATAAGGCATTCGTCTAAATAATGCAGAAAAAGAATTAACGATATGTTTACCCAAATAATTTGAATACTGGAACAATAAATTATGGATAAGCGTTATGCATTTTTCCAAATTTTACTCGAGCAATAATTTTCAATAGTGTTCAGGTAAAGGCTAATAAAGATAATCATGTGGCAAAATGACTAAAATGACTTCCAACATCGCTGTGCCTCAACTTCAATTCCTCCATCAAAAGCATTTCGTTCTAATAGTGAAGTGGATCTAATCAGGAATTAGAAAATATGATAAAGAGGAGGTGGAAATAGCGAAATAGCGAAAATATATAATATACTGAGATATTGCTCGCTTTTTGATTTTCTACAAATAATTCTTGGTTTCATCTTAGTTTCAAGTCAAATTATTCATTTTTTTATATGAAAATTATAAAAATTAACTATAAAATTATTATAATTCCTACTGATAATCCTAAAAAAAAATTTCCTGCTTCTCTCTTTTCCTTCTTTCTGATAACCATTTCTTAGCACTGCATTTTCCGCAATAAATATTCTTAAAGTTTTATTTAACAAGAACATAATCGTAATTCATTCCAGTTGACTTTCGAAAAACGAGATAATTTATTTTTGAAGTAATTAATTTATGCGTGCATATGGATTATAAAGCTAATCTAGCTCAAGCAATGTGTTATTATTATCAAATTATCAATGATCAAAAAAAATTCAATAAATCTCAATATATCTTATTGTATGAGAATAATTATATTGTGATTCTCCCTCAAATCCTTGTACATTCGTAAAGATGGCAAATATTTTCTTCCGAGTCCAAAGAAATTCTCTAATTATTTTCTCGTTTTATATTACATTTTCAATCTTCTTCTAGCAGCTTTCAGCATGAACGACTGCGCTGCTACAAAACAAAAGGTTTACAAATCGCTCGATGCGCTACAATGTCTGATAATAAAAAAAGCCACTTTTTTCCACCATCTAATTCCATAGATTTTGAACATATATCACTGAGCCTCCCAAACATTAAAAATCTCTCGTTCAGTTATCAGTTTATCAGTTAATCTTAATTGATCATTCTTATTTCTGCCGCCATACAACGAAGCGAAATGGGCTCAGTAAGCTACTGCCATTTCGGAATACCTTTACTGAGATTTCATCCCAAGCATGAGCGAACCCATTAAAAAATTCGGAGTAGGCTAGCGACTCATCTGTAGCGCTATCGCCAAGAGACTCTCTGGCATATTGGTCTCGTCCGAGAAGTTAGCGGAGCTAGTCTAATTAGCAATGGTGAGGACTCTGATTCTTTAAAAAAAATGGCTGCTATCGGCTCGATTTTGCTATATAGCAGCGAGATGTGGTAGATGAGATTTGAAGATATTAAAAATTTACCTGCCTTTAACCACTTATATCTATGACATATTTTTACGGATATTTTTATGATATGAAAATTTGCCCAAGCGGATAAAATCTCACAGGTTTTCATCCAAATTCACTACCACCACAGAGCGTCGCCTTCGCCGGTTAGGATGCGTTTTTCGTCGAATTCATGACAAGAATTTACATATATTACGTCATTTGTCAAACTTTGATGGATGATGTCTCAAAAGTGAGGAGGACCATTCGTGACTTTGACTGATAATCAGGAAAGGTTTTAAATTTTATAGGTGGACGAGCGATATGGATTTAAACGATAGAAAAAGGAGCGATTTGCTGTTAGTGATGGCGTTGGACCGAATCGATTGGAAACGCCTTACTATCGGAGCTAACCTAACCTGTAATGGTGAGGGGAATTGATATAATAAGTAAATTTTTTAGATGAATATGAAGGTGAACGTATATAAACCATTCGGGTATATGTACGATGAGATGAACCGAAAACATAGGTGTCTTTGGGATCCAAATAATACAACCCAAGACAAACATGAGCGAGCTGCATTGATTCATAAGAGATTACTAGCAGATGGACTTCTCGATGATGCAGTCATGGTTAAGAGAAATTTTCAATCATATAAAAATCCTATTATCATTAAGAAAATCATTATAAATTTCCAGTTTGCATATGTTCATTTGATCATTCTGAAATATTCCGAATTCTTGAAATTATTGGAATTCCGAAATTTCAATTTTCTTGAAATTATTCGAATGGCCATTTAGATTCCCACTCGGCGTGCCGAAATTTCGGAAATACTTTTGAATCATCCAAATGAATTGATACTCGAGTTGGAAGCATTAAGAACACCTGATGAACTTGAGGAATACTGCAGAAAAAGAGAGTTGCTATGGTTAGCTCCAGATTCAGCTTGTGTGGCACGTTTCATGGTTGGAGGAGTTATAGATTTACTCAAGGCCAATATCGAAGGAAGGTGAATAAATGGACATTTTTCATATTTACTATTTATCATTGATAGTTCACGTCAGATTGAAAATTTTTAAAAAATTACGTATTAGAATTGGTAACGCTTTTGCACTTACACGTCCTCCTGGCCATCATTCCTATGCTAATTCTCCACAAGGCTTTTGCATATATAACAACGTGGCAATAGCTGCGAAATATGCCATTGAACATCTTGGAATAAAAAAGGTTAGAAATTATTTCAATTTTCGCTTGCATCTTATCTCACTTCTCGAAGTGACTTATTAAGCAATTTCAAAAGAGCAAACAAACTTTAAATTTTCTTTCGGCTAGAATTTCATAATCTTATATTTTACTATAAGAAAACTTAAACTGTCCCCCCATATGTACCATCTTCTTTCACGCCGATATTTGTATTACACTTCACAATCCTATATTAAATTAAGGTGATTATCGTTGATATAGATTATCACTGTGGAAATGGAACTTATCATTCGGTTAAGGATGATGAGCGCATTTTGTTCGTCAACTTTCATTCATATCACTATGGAGCATTTTGGCCATACTCAAAGGAATACGACTATGACAATAAATACCGTTAGTGCACATACACATTCGTTAAAGTTGCTTGACTAGAAAAGCAAATTGGTAATACATCAATCGGACAGGAATCTACAAAGATGAAGACATGTAGCCAAAGCTACACATATGTCCACTTGAAGAAAGCTGCTATGAATGCTAAAACTATTCATAATTAATTCTTCAATAGGCAAAAAAATTTAACCGATTTCAATTTTTTTCAACAAAATTTTCTCTTAAAAATGCTATGATTCGGATGATTTTCAATTTTAAACAATTGTTTTAAAATATTTTATTTTTTAAAAATTATAAATAATATAAAATATATCCGTTTTAGGCAATGTTATTTCGATTCCACTGAATTCTACATTGAACAGCGAAGGTGATTATATTGCAGCGTTCAATCATCTGATAATACCAGTAGCACACGAATTCGGAGCCGAACTTGTACTCGTTTCACTTGGTTTTGATGCCGCCTATTATGATGATTTATTAGAGCATGGTCAAGGAATTAAAGCTCATGGGTTTTAAATTAATCATTATTATTCTAAAAAATCAGATCTAAATGTTTTCAATTTTTTTTTTTTTTTTGAATTTGAAGGCGAATATTTATAAATCTGCTTTGATAGTTATGGATATTTAATGCAAATGTTACATAAAAACTGGCCGAATAGAGTGCTAGCAATGCTGGAAGGCGGCTACTTTTGGCGAAGCTATACGGAATGTGCGGCGATGGCGACTCGTGGACTCAAGGTGGTGCTTTATTAACAGAAGCTTCTCAAAATATTTTTGCGAATATTTTAGAATATTTCGCCTTCGAAATGATTAGACTTCAGCAATTTTTTAGGGTTTGCCCATACCTGCATTAGACCATCCAAAGCGAGTAAATCCTTGCTTAGCGGATACATTGTGGCGATTAATGTTCCATCATTCGAAAAATTGGAAATGCGTTGAAAAACACTTAGAAAAGCTGCAGAAAATGCAGGTTACAACATTTTTAAAAAAAGGATTTCAAATATAAATTCAAATTTAGCTGTTAAATGGTTTCTAAATAGTCTCGGATGGTGTTGATGGCCTACTTGTAGTTTCCCTAAGCGACTCTGCGGAGAAGTTTGATGCTTTTAAACTATAAAGCCAGCCGAGCTAGAAATGATGAAATGGCGTTTACAGGATAAGGAGATTGTTATTATATCTTAAAGTTTATGGACAATTTTAAATAATGGACCGAAAAAAAAATGGTCAAGTTAATAATTTAGTTTAAGGTTCGTATCATTCATTCTCTTTAGATCATAAATGGAGAGCTGCGCTACGTACCTCCTCAATATAATATATTTCTCGGTGAGAATTTCCGTGAAATGTGGGACCGCGTTAAAGAATTGGCGATATCGAGGACGAGAAATTGGATATCAGGCATGACAGAGAACGAAATTGCTATTGCAACGGCTAAAATAGAAGAATATATAAAAGTCTAATTAAGTTTAAACATTACTCGAATTATAATTTCAAAGAGACTTAAGCTTATAATTAAGATTCTTTTAAGTATTTTTGTCTCTTTTTTGCCCTGCAAAGAACCATAAAAACACGAATAAATGACTAATGAAAAATTAATATGGAAAAAAAAATGTTTAAAAATATGATTGATAAGTGAATAGCCCAGTAAAAACATAAATAAATAATTCAAATGCAAATACCGATTTTGCATTACTTTCTGTTTCTGAAATTCCCATACTTAATAAATAGATAATTTTATTTTTTATACTATCTCCATATAAGCGAATATTTGCAATATTCGTCGACCTTTCAGTTTTTGGTACCTATTTTTTTATCCATTCAGGCAAAGTGCATACATAGTGCATATAGCATTTAAAAAAATCTCCTGTGGGTGGTAAGGATCATCCTCAATCTCGGATATATACCAAAGGTCTGGAAAATTGAGTTCTGCGCAGTATCTTAGCTACTCCTTATCTTGATAGCGCGCTTTTCTTGATAGAGATCTCTGGTGTTGTTCCTGGAATGTGCTGAATCCAGTTTCCTAGTTTAGAGGTCAAAGATTTTTCCCAAGTACTCCTATTATCAACAAAATAAGCCTTTGGCATTTATTTTTCACATCTCTAATACCTCATTGAGCCCTTAGTATTCCTCATATTCCTTCTTGACGTATCTGTCATTTGGTTTTACTATATCTATCGAGAATGCCAATGCTAATTCTTGTCTACCATGATATCTGGTTGATATTTGGCTAGTAGCTGTTTGCCTAGATGGATGAAAAAGTCCACAGGATCTTCCTTCTATTCTAAGGAATCTCGCATCTTGGAAGCCTATTCTGATCTAAAGCCTATTCTGAGCAAATATACCCATAGTTGATGCCAACTACTTGGTTATATCTTTCAATGCAGGTTGTTGCTGCCTAAATTTTACATCCCACCATTATATATTGACTATTTCTAAGCGTTTTTTGTATAATCTGCATCTAGAATCCTATTTGGTGTGGTATGTTGTTGCTGCTTTAGTGGATCTGGTGTGTGACCTTGTACTATGATCTATATATATATATATAAATATATGTATAAATATATAAATGTATTTAGGCCATACAAAGAGTGCTAGCCATTTCCTTTCATAAGAGACTGGATTTCGAGTCCTTGCCATTTATTTGTCGTTCTATATAGGGATCCTTGCGCCAAGATCTCTTGACTTGTAGTTCTTCATTGTCCTAGGTTTCCAGCTTGATAAAGTGCTCGAGTTGAAGAAAGCTCAAAAGCTCATGTCTCCCACAGGGAACGAGAATGAATTTTATATATATGAAAAACTTTTCTCATTCCCTATAGGTGGTCATGGTCATCGGGTCCTCTACCAGAGACCAAAACCTATATGGAACATATGAAACTTAACATATTATATATGTAATGATATGATATGATATATATTTATATATATATTTATAATGATAGGCACGCATATGGGCACAGAATCGCTATAGCACCGATTTTAAAAAAATTCCTCCTATTGTTGTTGAATTTTAAATGATTATGAATGCGAAAATTTAGCTTCACACACGAACAAATATAAAACAAACCTAAAAAATTATAAGTATAAAATTTTAAGGAATACAATTATGAAAAAGAAACTTATGAATTCAACGAACGTGAATTATTGGAGCAATTATTGTGGAATTCTGAACGTGCGAGCGAGGCATATTTAAAGTCGATTCCAACAACAATGTGGTTTTATTCGCAAATAAAAAAATGTTTGGAAAGCGATGATGGAAGATACTTAATTCTCGACATGGAAGCTTATTATAGAAGAACGCGAAAGAATTGACGGATTTCAAGAGGAAACTCGAGATTTTCCTGCGCTATTCCTCACGCCTTTATTTTCAATTATATTTTATATTTTTTTAATAATTTGATTAAAACAAAAAAAAAAAATGATTGATATGAATGATTTTTAAAATAAAAAATATTGCAACATTTCGATATAAAATTCGATTTTTATTGCAAAAAGACATAAATTTTTTTTGATAGACTTTCATTAAAATAAGTTTATTTAAAAAAAAAAAGCAAATTTATTCATAAATTATTTATTCTTAATGAATAGTGCGTAATATGTATTATTTGTCTGTCTGGATGAGGAAATCTCACCTTTCTCTTATTATTCTCCACGATTTTCTGGGAAATCTCCTATCTAACATAGGCTCTAGCCATATATATATATATATTCCCGTACCCAATGCCAGCTAATTGATTATACCTTTCAGTATGTGGTCGCTCCTTTTTTAATATTCCATGGCTATATATTGGAGAGCCTCTGAAGCTTTTCTTATAGTCTGAATTTTGAATCCAATCTGATATGGTCAATCCTTGCATCGATAGGCCTGGCGCTTGTCACCTGTTCTATAAATTGTATCTCATTTTTAAGTTTTTTCCAGTCATTATGGGATTTTTCGATGTTAACCACTTTAGCTGTTTGTCGATAGCACATCTCATGGAGATTTTCGTCGCATCTTACCACTTTCTCTGCTTGATCTTCATGCATGCTGCTACTCCAGATATTCTTTTCTCTTGGTGATATTTTATTGAATTTGGGATGTTAGACTTTGGATGAAATTTCAACGCACTGTGAGAATTTTTCTGGCCATCATCTCCTCGGCAGATTTTCATGTCTTCTTTTGAACATCGCAACATGTTAGTTGTATATCATATAACTGGTAAGGCGTACACGTTTATGATGTAAATTTTGTTTATCCCATTAAACTGGCTTTTCAAGGTTTGTCGTATTCTTTGGTGGTATTCGGGTGTTCTTTTTTTTTTGCCCCTTAATCCCATTCCTATGTGATCGTAACTCTGTATGTATGTCAGATATATATTTTATGGTACTGTGAATGCCTAGCTATTATGTCTGACCTAAGAAAAATAAATATTTGCATTCAAAAACTTCAATCCTTCACCAGATTTGTTATTTGGTTCTCTGTTAATTTCTTATCACCAATACTGGCATTTTTTCCTATGATCCTTTATATCTAACTTCCTAATTTTTCTTCTACTACGAGCTTGTGATTTTAAAATTTTGTTTAATTAATAAGCAATTCCAATTAGAATATTTATTTATAATTGCACAATGGAAAATTTAGATAAAAATAAAAACCTTAAAAATCTGCAAATCAACAAATTGCAATTGGAAACTTAAATCAAATTCCATTTTTGCAAAAAAAAAATAAAAAGCAAATTAAATTTTCTTGCTAAAGGATTTTAAAAAAATTTTTGTACTCCAATATTTAATTATTTTCACCAAACCAAAAACTAATATATCATTTTCATCGTAAAATTTATTTGAAAAATTAAAAAATTAAAATTTCTCATGGTTTTTATAATAGTCTAAATACAATTTTAATAGTCTATAATATAATTAAAGCAAATACAGTGGTGCAATAAAAAAAAATTTTAAGGAAAAATATGAATTTAATTAAATATTCCATAATTTTCCATTTAATATTCCATATGAAAACCAATAAGAGGAGAATCTTCATTTTCCATGAATTTTAATCGGGAAATCCAGAAACTACCAGTCGAGCATTGCACCGCGTCATGAAAGCTCTCGAAAATCTGATTAATAATTTTATATACTACATATTTATCCAAATTTAATATAAATTAAAAAAGGCAGTAAATATTGTAAATAAAAACAATGAAAACAATACATTGCAAATTACAGATAAATGTAGAAAATATATATCAATATACTTAAAATATGATAAGAGAACCGTTACAATGGCACTCATATAGCTTTTTTAAATATAATAATACATAGAAGAAAAAATTTTAAAATTTTTTAATAATAAAACAGAGATATTAAAATAACAACAACGACAATAATAATAATAGTAATAGCTGTTTAAATACCCGTAATATCATTTTGAGAAAAAAATAAAAAAAATGAAAAAGAATTGAAAATAAGAAATAGGAAGGCTAATTAAAAGAATTATTGCATCTGATATGGATTATCATAAGAAGCCAAAAATTCGAGAGCAGCATGATAACAAAAATGATACTGATCTTTGTCTTGTACCATATTTTGTCGTTCAGTCCGTAATAATTTGACTGTTGTAAATACATCCACTACATGCTCTAACTTCATTCGATCTATTATAATACTCAATGCTATAAATACACCAGTACGACCAGCACCTGTTGAACAATGAACTGTTATAGGACCATCAATACCAAACTGTGTTTTTGTCCGATGCACCTGAAAATAAATAAATAAATTTAAATAATTTTAAATTTTAAAAATATTTTTAAATTCTTATGCACCAATATTGAATCATTTTTACTAAGCCAAAAACTAATAAAACTAATATATCATAAAATTTATTCAAAAATATAAAATTTAAATTTCTTATGGTTTTTACAACAAACAATCTAAACATAAAAGTAATAGCCTATTTAAAAAATCAAAAATTGTAAAATTCAATAAAATAATAATTCAATTCAATAAAATAATAATAATAATTTATAAAAATAATAATTTTTATTTAAATAAATTACTTGATGAATGAAATCAATGAACGATTCAGCTGATTTTGGAGGTCCTTGTTCTGGCCACTCAATATACTGAAAATGTCGTACTGTCCGCATATGTCCATTCTAAATAAATTTTAGTTAAAAGAAAAACAATATAAAACAATAATATATATTGAAATTTAAAAAATAACGCAAAAAAAAATTATAAAAAAATAACCTGAGCATCAGAAATCCGAAATTCTCTTAAAACATATTGAGTCATATTATATTCAGCAATTGGCTCAACAATTAAGAAATCGAACTGCGCTGCCGATTTTTCTGGCCAATATTCGCAACATTTTTCCTGAAATGAAGCGCAAAATTTTCGGTGTTTTCACTTCAAATTTTTCTTGGCATAAAATTTAGCATAAATTTTAAAATTCAGTTTAAAAACCACTTTTGAATAGAGAAATGATGGAAGAAAGAGAGATTTCACAGAAGCCGATCTTAGTAACCAGCGCAGCCAGCCAAGAAAGAAATAGAAATATCAGAATTAATGGCAAACGTAGATTCCTGCTGAGATTATCAAAAGATTGGGAGGAGTGATTTATAAAGTAAAAGTTGGAAAAATCCGTAAACCTGGTCTGGTACCGCGCAGGCGTAGCTACCAACTAATATGATTCAGCGATCTTTCAGTTAAAAACGGGAGATACTGCGATATCTTAATCTTTAATCCACTAATTTATTCATATCAAAATATTTATTTACGAGTCATAAAAACCTTACAATATTCCTAAAATGATCAAAATAACCGAGAAAAGATGCCGTCTATTTAAGAATATCGAATAATAAAAGCATTTGAAAAAATACCCGTCCAGCTTCCCGTGTTTTTACCAACATTACAATGATTGACGAAGCATTTTCCCATATCATTCGCCAAAAATCTTCTATCGTATTTGATAACGGTCCTTGTGTGGCAATATAAGCGTTACGTCGACTGAAATTCGATAGAAAGATTAGAAAATTAACTTAATTTCTATAAAAAATTTTTCTTAAGAGTTCAATTCCTTTCTCCCCCCCTCCCCTCATTACAGCTTAGACTCGCTTCGCTGGTTTGTCGCACTAGACAAATATACCAGGGGGAGTCTCTTGGCGATAGAAGTAAGTGTGACTGGCTAACATCATCCGGTCTATAAAAACGATAAAATGATATAAAATTTACCGGTAACCATCAATCCATGACGCATTAATATAATCAGACCCATCGATACCAGGTATTGCATGAAGCGTGACTCGAGAAGAATCATAAGGGATCATGTTCATGAGACGGTTTTTCGCTCGATTAATTGGCAAATTAGCAATTCCACAGCGCGAATTTGACATTTTTAAAGTCGCCAGATGCTATTAAAGAATTTCATTTAATGAAACAAAGAAATTAAGAATGAAAAAAATCTCAAATAAACTGAAAATATGTAAAAATTTGACATACCCTGAATTCTAATTCCATTCCAGACACTTGATCAATGGGCTGAATTTGCAGTAATGCTTGTATATGAGTGTACAGCTTATTAGCGGGCACTTCTGTTGAACCAGATTGAACAGCATCAAGCACTGCATCATGAATAAACATATATTGGTCCTCAGTCTAAAAATTTTACTGTTCTTTTCTTTCATAAATTACAATAAAATAACAGAAATGAAAATATAAAAATATACCTGAACCATATAAGATCTCTGCGATCGTAACGCAGTAACACACCCATATATGTCAACTGTATTTTCATACCTTAATCGTTCTAACATGCAATCAATTACAATAAAGGCACCAGTTCGACCGATCCCCGCGCTGCAATTAATAATTATATAAATCTTCTTTTTCCAACACCTCTCACCATTAATGGTTAGACTGGTTCCGCTGATTACAAGATTAAGATGTCTCCAAGCCGCCCGGTCCGACGCCATCGCTAGTAGTGATAGAAGCCATTTCTTTTTTAATAAAAAAAAATATATAAATTTATTATTTCTATATATTTTAAAACCTTTCATTAACCTGAGAAAAGAAAAATTTAAAGCAGTATAGCAGTATACCTGCAATGTGAAATAATAGGTCCAGCATCTAGCTGATTTAATGTTTTAACTCTTTTAAGAAACATTAAAAATGGTGTTGGATGATCCGGAACGCCATGATCAGGCCAAGCAGTATATTGTAAATGTCGCACTTCACGCAACTCACTACTACCACGACATTGTAATCGCAGTGTACGAATAGTATAATGTGCCAATTCTAATGTATCCAATAAAGCTACCTAAAAAAAAAAGAACAAAATTTTTTTTCATTAAAAAAAAAAATTAACGAAAAGAAAATATACTTGAATATTTCCATAAGTTGACGATGCACGTGATGGCCAATATTGATCACATTTAATTCGCGATCTTTCCTCTAATTTCGTTAGCATGACAATCGTAACTGAATTCTCTTCCCAAACCATTCGCCAGAAATCCGCAAACGTTTCAGGCAATGGCCCTTGAGTAGCAATATAGGCTTTTGCCTGAAATCATTACGAGAAATTCATTTAAAATGCAAACAATTATTTTTCAGCAAAAACACACGCATTTCACTTCTATAAGAATCACTTTAAAAATTTTCTCTTTTTTTAAGAAAATAGCATTAAACCTTTTCGTAACCATCGATATAATTGGCGTTGATATAATCGCTGTCGGGTATTGCGTCAATAGTATTAAGTATAACACGAGAATGATCATAAGCCACAACATTTGCATAGCGATTCTTCACTTTATTATTATCTCGATTTGAATGCTCCCATGTAAAATGTTGACCTGTTTCGATACTTTCATATTCCTAAAAAAAATTTTTGCCTATAAAAAATAGACGAAATTTTTCTGAAAATAAATAATTGAAAGGAACAAAACAAGAAGTATTTTGGAAATATTCACTTTCTTTTCATAACTGAATAAAATTTTATGCAAATTAGAAATTTAATTTATAATATATTTTTCCAGAAATTAATTTAACATATCAAAAATAGTAGCTTAGAGATTATCGAATTAGAAATTTACAAGGAAGGATCAAGCAAGGTGTATAATTATCTTATGAAACTGCCTTTCATTTTTTTTTCAGTGGAAAAAGACAGTAGACGCAGTCCACATTTATTAGGTATATTTATGCGGGTGAAGCTGACGACTCATCAGCACTTCCATTTCGCGAAATAACTCTTCCCTAACAAAATATGCTCGACAAACGAGTGGTACTAGCCTAATCAGAAATGGTAAAGTTTTTCAAGAAAAATGGTATGGTATACCAAAGCCATTCTTTCTATTAGTGTACCGATGATTGCTAGGTTTATTACATATATGGAAGATCGGAGAATGTGAAAATGTAACAAAATAATTCAATTGCTTTATGAAATTACCTTTAGATAAAAATTCTAGGCATTATTCCAAAAGGAATTTATCTCTCTAAAACCATTTAAAAATCAGAAAGTTATAAAAAAAAGGTGGTAGATAAAACTGACCTGTGATAGAAGCAAATTATTATTCATTTTAAGCTTTTCGATATGAGCAGCAAGCTCAGATATTGGAACAGGAGGATGATTCAATGTATGACCACCAATAACACCGCCACTCGACGGTATTAACGACATTGGTATTGGCACTGCACTATAGTTATTAATATGGCCTTGATTTGACGAATACATGTCCACTGACGATTCCATTATCGGATTACCATTACCATTCATCTATAAAAAAATGATTTTATTCCTAAAATTCCAAGAAAGATCTCAGTTAAAAGCTAAAACTCTTCTAATAAATGGACATATTTTTTAATATTTTTTATATTTTTTTAAATTTTTTTTTATATATATTTTTTAAAATAGATACAGAGAAAGAAAAAAAAAATGCACCTGATCATATGGGCTGACAACTTGCCGACCATAAATATCATTAGATACTAATAACTTTGAAGTTTCACTAGGTACATTACCAGTTAATGCGACTTTTGTTATAGACCCATGACGATGGGTTGTATGAGATGATCCTTTACGACTGCAACGAAGCCACCTAAAATATAAGAAATTTTCTTTTTGCGTTTCTTTCTTGCAATATTTGCTCCGCACTAATTTTATGCAATAATTTTTCAGTAAATAAATTGAAAGACCTTTCCTGGGAACCAGGGCGCCTAAGAGGGTCCAATCTCTCCCTGAATTACACATAAAAAACTGATCTAAATCTCACATCTCACCCTAATAGCCACGGTCCGTGCTATAAAATGTAGAGAAATTTTCGATTTTCATTTAAAAATTTGTGATATTCGGCAAAATTTTTTTTTCTATATTCTATTTCTAATTTCATAATTGTAAGAAAACAAATCGTTAAAATATGACAAGAAAAAGAAAGAAAGAAAGTACGAACCATATAACAAGCATCCCAACAATAAGTGCAATAACCATTACTGCAATCAGAGGTGCAATTAGCCATAAATTCGAAGCTCGAGTATTACCGTACTGAATTTGAGCTGCTTTAGTTGAGAATGGTTCGCTTAACATCGAATCTGAATATCGCTTTGCCACTGGTTTTTGAATTGGTGCACGATATTCAAACTGAAAAAGAAATTTAAAAAACCAGTCAGTCTAAACTTTAAATTCAATCCAATTAAGATTCGATCAGAATCAATGAAGAACGTAGAAAACGAAATAATGTGAAAAATTGAATCATCTATCTGATGATGGATGATTAGTGAAAAAGTCATCTCTTGCAACAATAATAATAAAAATGAACCATTTTTTCTGGATTTCCACTGTGATCATCCTTTGCAAAAACTCGCATCATCAAACGATATTTTACATTGCTATTCAGTGGCCAATTCTCATATCCATCATATATCTAAAAATTTGCAAAAAAACTATCAAAATATATTTAAAAATAATAATATTTAAATAAAAAATATCAATAATATTTATATTATTAATAAAAATAATTTTAATTCGATAGCTTAGCTTGATTTCAACCACGTCAATCAACAAATTATTAAATTCACCAAAATTCGCAATTAAGTTAAGTAAGTTAAGTACTTACTCATTCTTCAGTTTAGATAATAAATTGATTTCTTTCACTAGAAAGGATCAATGCATGAAACGAAAAGAAAATGAAGAAATTTGTACCTGTCCATCACCAAGTGTAAAAAGCCGATTATCTCTCTGCATTTGTCGCATATCAAGAACGGGAATTCCAGCCGTAATGTACGCACCATTCACCGAATTCGTATTAAAAATAAAACGCCTAAATAGAAGCAAATTTCATAGTAAATTTAGTCAATAAAATGAAATTATCTATCGTTTAGCAAAAAATAAAATAAAATTTAATAAAAATATATAAAAGACTTTCCTCTTTACTCGCTAAAGTTAATCAATCAAGTAATATAAAAATTGCACTAAAAATAAAACAAATTTCGCTTCATCAATAATAAAGGAAAATTGATTTCAGATAGCCCGAGGGAATTGCCTTTCCTTTCACTTTTCTTTTTATTTATGATTTTTTTTTAAAGAAAGCAAAAAAAAATGGGACAAACTTTGTTTTGGAGATTTCTTTCTCAAAATTCAGTGGATTTTCCTTCTGAGAATTTGACGATGAATGAAAACTTCTTGGTCTCATTAGCGCTGTACTTTTTTGCAATGCTGTTGAATCCAAATTGAGTACGTCATCCTAAAATATAGAAAGTTAGGCATTAATAAGCTTTATGGTGCGGAGAATAAGATTCATTCGTTGTATCTGAATTTTTTATACCGCCGAAAATAAAATTTCGGAGATCGCCGAAGGGTACTACTATACTAGTCAAAAGAAACGCCTCAGTCAATAGTCGGTGGATCAATTAATCAGCAGAAAGTGTACATCTTGTTAGTAGAAGGCTAATGAAAAGAAAGCGGCGCCTTAAACACAAATTTCTCCTCGAACTACTCTCACAAAAGGAATTGTGAGAACTGTTTGATTTTAACCTCAAATTTCATCCAAAAAAATTCTTTCTTTAAAAAAATTATAAAATTCAAAATTCAAAAGAATAAATAAAATTCAGAAAATAAAGAAAACAAACTTGAGTATAATTTCCTGGCACGACAATAATCCAATAATGACTAATGGGACCATATTCTTCGCTAGCACATTTTAATTTAATCATGGCAGTACTAGTTTCGAAGGATTCAATAAATTCAGGTATATCTACAAATGGCGGACCAGCAGGATCTGTTTTAACAATAATTTCTCGTGGCCAATATTCTTTAATCGATGGTGGTAATTCGCGAACACCTACGTGAAATGTGTATTCCATATATGGTCGCAGTGTTGTCCACCTGCAAAAAAGTAAAAATAAGAACTTCTCATGACCAAAAAAAGGATAACTAAGCACGAAAAAATAAAACGATGGTGAAGATAGCCGCAAAAAAAAATAAAAATAACAAATGCTCGCGCTGATTTCCATCTAATTCTTGCCGGAAGCCCGGCGATATCATTCCTTTAAGTTGTAAATGTTGATCCAAATAATCCTTTCGCCCAGTTTGATTAACATAAAATCCAATTCGTTGTGGACCATTATATTCCCATTTTAACATCACCGAATTACTTGTTTTCCATGAAATTAACAAGTTCGATATCATATGAATAGGTGTGATACGATCAATTATCACCGGTGGATCACTACATGGCCCTTGACGCTGAAAATCATTTTTTGTAAAAAAAAAAAATGAAATGAAATCAAACAAGATTTTTTTAAATAATAAAATTATTACAATAAAATTAAAACGTCAAAAAGTGTAATAAAAAAAAATATATATAGGATGTATAATATTTAATATATATATTTAAAAATAGGAAGAGATGGAACTCTACTGAAGATGATAATATAGATGAATTGTTCTGAGCTATTTTAATGCGTTACTCTACTATCCATGCACTTCCCGATCTTGTGCATCTTTTTCCAGTAAAATATACAATTTAATGGTCTTTCGTAGAATATACGTGAGACAGGTCATTCGGTAGGAGCACACGTAGTAGGATAGTTCGTTATTACTGGCTAGTAGTTACTACAATTATTTATTTAGCGCTCAACATATGAGTTCATATTGCTAGATTAAATATTGGGTTCCATGAACTACCAAGCCAAGATCGAAGCCGAAGGCATATTTTCATTATAAAATAAAGAAAACAGAAAAAAAGAAAATTTTAGTCAAAAAATTGAAATTGACCTAGATGAAGAATCGAAACGAAATTTCACGTAAGATTTTTCTTACTCGACTGTAAAAAGAGCCATTTCAGTTAAATTCATCTAGGAATGGCTTAAAATTTAAAGACTCATCTCAAATAGCAGTCAGTGGTGTCAGAAATTGTGCAAACTTTTGCAAATAGAAAATATTTAATAAAAAAAAGACTAACATTTTGTTTGATAGCAATAACACAGAATGCATAAGATTTATTTGATAATAAATTATCGATATATAAATGCCTAGCAAATGAATCCATGACTGATAACGATTTCCACTGATTATTATCATCACGTAACGAATTTGGTTCATGAATATATTTAACAATAAAACCATCGATGTTATTATCGTTATTATTGTTCTTATCAATAAAATCCCATTGAACAACAACCGAATTATTTGTTATCGCTTCAATGCGTACATTTGTCGGCGTTGCAATATATGCTAAATTTTTCAAAAATTTTCTTTTCAAAATTATTAAAATCAAGTTTGTTTTTATTTCTTGAAATAAAAAATTTATGCAAAAAACCTTTTTTAAATTTGATTTTTTGAAAAATTATTTTAGCAAATTTTTTGGCTGAAAAATATATGGAAATCTTTTAAATAAAAACTTTTAAATTTTTTGATTGAAAAATTCTGAAAAATTATTTAGCTAAATTTTTTTGAACAGATCAAATTTTTCCTTAAATGAATAATTTAACATAAGCGTTTTATTATATGAAAATTTATAAATGATAATGATAGTAGTGACCTGATAAAATTAAATTTAAATGAGTTACATCAAATAAAAAACAAAATATTTTAAAAGAGCAAAAAAATAATGAAAACCTTATCAATTATCAATTATCAAACATTTTATCATTATTCATTTTTTTTAATCAAAAACTTATATAAAAATAAAAAAAAGATAACCATTTTTCATCCGTAAAATGTCACTTTCAGAATTAATATTATTAGTGTTGTTCTTATTATTTAATAAAGCAAATATTATAGCAGAAAATATATTTTGTCGTTTAATGTTTATTGAATTTAATGATGTTTTTTCAGGATTATTATCATCGTTATCAATGTTAAATAATAAATTTCGCATTTTTGTAAAGTAAAAAGTCGCTAATCTTAGCTATATTTGAAGATATTCGTTCACTTTACTAACTTAATTAACTAAGAAGTAAGAAAAAAAAGAGATACTACTAAATTACTAAAAACTAAAAATTCGTGAATGTTTGAGAAATAAAATAACTGTCAATCTTGAAAAAATCTAAAAACATTCAATAAATAACATTATTCTGCTACGTAAATTGCTTATATAAATACTGGAAAACGGAAGTTTTAAACCTTTTCTAGCAATTTCCTTCCATTCATTTATCATTTATTACAGAGATAAAATGAAAAAATTATAGAAATATTTATTAAAAGGAAGAAAAATAAAGACATTTATTTGTTAAAAATTCCAAAAAGACCAAAAAAATTATATTTTAAGACGAAAAAAAAAATCAAATTTATCAAAAAAAATTCCGAATTAAAAATAGAAATTCCAGTAGAAATTGCATTAGAAATTGAGGCAATTGCAATATGTATATCGAAAAAATGTTCAACTAAATTCGAATTCATTCTATGGAACTTATGTAAACGATCTGCTGCTTTAATAATCTGCTTTAATGGTTCCTTAAAAATTGGAATAGGTTAACTGATATCAAATGATAATTGATAACGATGAAATTTTTATTTAATTAATAGGATTTTTTTTTTTTTTTTTGTTCTGACATGAAATCTCTTACCAGAATCAACATTACTAGCGGTTCTTGGGCAAATGAACGATGAACAATCATTATTATTATTAGTATTGTATCGATACTTTGGTGATGAACCAAATTGCTGATCCGATTTATACTTATCACCTATTTTATGTTCTACGTTATGACCTATAGACTGATTATACAAATAAGGAATATCAAGTGGTCCAGGTGATATAGCATTAATTATCGCATCAAAGAAATATGCAGTTGAGATTTCATTCGAATCCGACAATTTATTATCATTTTCATAATAATTATTATACAATAATGGCAATCGAGCTAAAAAAAAAATAATAATAATAAAAATCAATTCATTTAAGCTTTTAAACCTCTTTCTACAATAAAGGAAATTATAAAAAATTTGTATAAATAATTTAATTACTCAAAAAATTTAAAAATTTTAATTTTATTTTAATTAATAGCTTATTTCGTAAATTTTTAAAAATATTTAAAATATTTAAATATTTAAAAAAATTTTCTTGGTTCAATTTAAAGAAGGAAAAAAGCAATTTTCTACATATTTTCATATAAATCATTTTTCTTCAAATTTAAATCTATTATTTGCATTTGCACTAAAAAAAAAATGCCACCTAAAATGTCAATTTGAAATCGCTTCAGACAAATCGGATAGTAAAAATTTTTTTTTTCTAATGAATTTGAAAAATTATAAAAAATTGAAATTAAAAAAAAAATAAAACAAAACAAAATGAAAGCAAAAGAATGCCTGTGCTAGACGATGAATCCTTCTTCATATTTTTGATTTGAATTTTACGAAATTTTTGTTCTTTTAAACGAGTTAAAAGATTCGAATTTTTACGAATTTCACGTATAAATCGTTGTTTAAACATCTTTTAATAAAAAAATTTTACTAAATATAAATATTAAAAATTAAAGTTGAAAAAAACTTTAAAAAATAAAAAATCTCAAAAAAAAAACAAAATTAATTTAATTGTTTATTGAAATTCAAGAAAAATAAAAATTTCCTTTTTCTATAGCCAACCGCCTTTGTTTAAAATAAATAAATAAAATAAAATTTGAAATAAAATAATTTTTATTTAAAGGAAAAATGTAAAGAAATTATTTCTATCAATAAAGAGATAAAATCACTTTAAGACAAAACCATTTAATATAAAAATTTAATTAAAAAGAAATGTGTAAGAACTTAAAATGAAATCAGACCACCAAAGGCAAATATGGATCACGGAACTTTAGTACTAAATTGAAGTGCATCATGGAACTTTAGCACCAAAGAGTAATGGGTCATGGAATTTCAAGGACTCCAAAATGGAAAGAATTTAGAAAACCTGGAGCAGTAGAGAAAGGGAAATAGAAAAACAAAATTCCAGAAGGAAAATAAAGAAAATTAAAAAAATTTAAAATCTAATCCAATATTTCGTTATAAATTTAAAATAAATTTACGATTTACTAAGAAGAATTAAAAAAGATTCTTTTCTTTATATGCTTCTATTTAATGAAATTTATAAAAAAATTATAATAAATTTGCGTTAGTTCAACGTCAACTCTCACTGCTATGATTTCACGTAAAAAATCAACGTGTTTCATTGCTATAGTTTTACGCTACAAATCAAAACTAACGACGTGTATGTCTTATAATTTCCTCATTCCTAAATGCATTGCCTATTGCCTATGGCACTGTTTCTGCTTCATTTGCTTCCACATTTAAAAAAGAGATTTAATAGCGTCATGCGCGCTCCATTCATAATTAATATTATTAGTCGTGCGCCGTATTTTATGTTTTTTTTTGATTTTTTTTGGTTTGATAACGAATAACGCGTTATGCTCTTAACTGATAAAGTAAATAAATAAAACATGTTTATCACAATTATCACAATTAAAATCGCGCATTTCTTGTAAACTATACTGAAGATAGTCGCCAAGTGGTTAAACATTTTTCGCTCAGTCTAATATGGCTCTTAGTGATAAGAAAGAAAGAGTTTTATCAAAGTCAGTTGAAAATAAGTGCCAGCATCATTTGGATTTTCAGGATATATTCTGGTTGGATGCATCTGAACCTTAACGATTATCTAAAGAACCACCCGCGCTACAATTCTGCCTATATTAAATATATTTATATTATTATTATTAAATTTAGAATTTTATTATTTACATTATCAAAAATATAAATACTAATTAATTATTTAAATATTGAATAATATGAAATAATTGTAATAAAAAAATATTTATAAATAATAAAATAATAAAAGAAATTTTTGTGGGAATAAAGTAGCAAAAAAAAAAATTTTACAAAAAAAAATTAAAAATAAATTAAAAATGAATTGAAATGATAAAGAAATGAATCAGTGAAAATGATATTGAATTTAGATAAAAGCATTTTAAGTAAATAATTTAATTTATTTGATTACATAAATAAATTTGAGAAATAAAATAAAAATAAAATAAAATTTATTCAAGAAAAATCCATTCATTCTTTTAACATAGAATTCTTTTTAAAAAGTCCATCAAAAAAAAAAAGAATAAAATTCAACGAAAATTTCATCTTTTATTGTAAAAAAATTATAATTATTTTTATAATTTTTATAAAATTATAATTATTATAATTATTTAGAGAATTTGATTTGAGAATTTAAATTTAAAAAAAAAAATTAGAAGAAATTGAAAATATTAAAAAAATTCTTTAGTGAGCAATTTCACTTTGAAAATATTGGTTTTCAAATGAAAATTCGAACAGAAAAAAAAGTTTTCCAAATTTTCATGCAAATAATACATAAATAATACAAAAATAAAAAAATAAAAAAAATAAAAAATTTCAACAGCTTAAGAAAATTTTATTTAAAAAAATTTTTGAAAATAATTTATTTTTTTAAAAAAAAATCTATCCTCTTATAAAAAAAATGAATGAACGATGTCGTTTTTGCCGTTATTGCCGAAATTGTGGAATTTTAGTCGAAATATATTTACATTATTATTATTAAATTTAGAAATTTACTTTTTGCATTATCAAAAAATCAATTTGATAGCGTCAAAAATAAATTTGAAATTAATAAAAATGTGATTGAGGATGGATCAAAATAAAAAAAAAAAAAATTGAAAAAAGCTCGCTCACCTCGCTGATCGCTTAGGCAAATATCAATAAAATATTGTTGAAAATCAACCCATAAATTAAATAAATCGCTATTATTATTTAATAAAGATTTCCAATTTGGTTTAAATTTTTCGATAAAATTATCAACTTTTTCCAGCAATTTTTCTTCACAAAATTCTTTAGTTCTTATCACTTCTTTATCATCATCATTATCAATATCATTATTATTATTATCACTAATAAATATTTTATAACAAAGATTATTATAAAAATCTTCAAAATTATTCCACAAATCTTGTATAATTTTTGTATTTAATATGTGATATTTCCATCCCGATGAAAATTTATTTAGAAAAGTTTCAAATTTTTCAAGAATTTTTTCTCGACAATCATCTATTTCTCTTTCATTTATAGATTTTTTTATTAAGAATTGTTTCGGCTTCCTCGTTGTTGTTGTTATTGTTGACATTTTTACTATAAATTGGGCAAAAATAAAAAATAAGCGAAGAAATAACAAAATTTGAAAACGCTGAACAAATTGATGATCAACAAATAAAAATCACTTGACCAGATATAAGCAAGCAAATCGTTTGATCAATCGATCAAACAATCGCCTTACCGATTTTTTTCCTATCATTTTCCTTTAACATATTGATAAATTGTTAAACCAAAATTAAAAAGCGGAATCACAAATCGAAAGTAAGTAAGTAGAGCAAAAATAATTATCACAATCAAAAAATTATCAATCAAAATAATGAAATTTATGAGATTTTAATATTTTTTTAGCATTCTTTATATTGAGCAAATGCCTGCATTTATTTGATTAATTTAAATTTTAACAAAATAAAAAATATCACTGAAAAAAAATTATCAAATTGTCAAAAAAATTATCAAATTGTCGGTTTTGAAAATTATCAATTTAAAAATATTATTAAAAGCCAAATTTCGAATAAAAATCGAACTAATTGCAAAAATATAAAAAAAAAAGGAATGCAAAAATAAATAAAATAATAACGAAAAATTCAAAAAAAAAAACAATTTAAAAAGATTTTTGTTAAATTTATAAGGAAATTTCTTTAAGTAAAAATAAGTAAAAATCATTCATTTAAGAAAGAAAAGAAAATTCCATGAAAATGAAAATTGCAACGAAAAGAGAAAAATAAAAAAATGTTTCGTGTTAATCAAAGGTAAATAAATCCAGACGGATGCTAAGTGAAAAAAATTTATTATTACATCAAATTCATTCCTTTTATCCTTTTTTCTTTTAAAGAATAACATTTTAATTCCATATAAAAACTTTAATTATTTTCATATAAAAACTTTTAAAAAACCAGTAAATATTTATTAAAATTAAAAGAATTTTGAAAATATATATAAAAATAAACAATAAATAAAATAATAAAATATATCCTTTTTTAATTTGACATATTCGCCAAAATTTACCAAAAAAGCCTTAAAATTTTTTTAAGAGCGCGAGTCATTTCTGATTGTACACTGATTGACTCAGTTGGATCAAAAAATTTTGTCAAAGAGTTATTTGGTGAAGAAGTTACAGGTGCACCAAAACCATATTTCTGAAATATAGGTTCGCTTCTATCAGAAAATGAGCCTCAACAGTGGCCTTCGAGCTAATACCATCGAATATTTAGACAAAAATTTTCAAAAACAATTAAATATTTATTAAAATTTAAAGAACGCTGACACGTACAATTTGGCATATTCGTCAAAATTCAGTGCCTTTTACTAAATATAATATTCTTTGAATGTTTTCGAAAAAAATATCGAAAAAATTTATTGGAAAGAAATCTTTTCCTTTTTTCAAAATTCCCTTAATTAATTAATTTAATAATAGTGAAAATAAAAATATTTTTTTTAATTTTATATCAGCTAAAAATACAAAAAAATTTGTGTTATTAGTAATTTCAAAGAAATATTTTCAAAGAATTGCTAAAAAAAAAAAGAGTAAACCAACTGAATAAAAGCAAATAAAACTTTTTTATATAAAAATTATTTTTTAAAAATCGATTTAAAGTAATTGAAAAGCAAAGGAAAAGCAAAAAGCCCATTGAAATAAATTAAAATAGGTTTCGAGTAGTACAATTCGTATTTCATAAAATAAATTGATGGCTACGATTTCATGACAATAGGCGACAATAGGCTAAACAAGTTGTAAGCAATGAGTAAAGATTGAATCACATGAGAAGTTATACTTAAGATTATTGAATCTATAAAAGTTAGTTACTTTGATAAGTAAGTAGAATAGGTAGATAGACGACTATAAAAGTAGAACATTCATTTATCATTAATGCTTATTAATATTTTTATGATTACTACCGTTATCATTATCAATACTATTACTAATCATTATTGCTCATTATCATTGAAATTATTATTTAATCTTATTATCGTTTCATTATTATTATTTATTATTATTATATTTTATTATTAATCATTAAGATAAATTGCGAGACGAATGAAAATATGAAATGAACGAACAATAAATATCACTAATTGATGAGAGCAATGATTTTTTAAAAAATCAATTATCCAAGTTTTTTAAATTTTTTTTTCAAGTTTTTTGAGAATTTGAGAAAAAATGACTAATTTATATAAACTAAATTTACAAAAAAAAATGACGCAAACGCGATTTTTTCTTCTTCAAACCGAAAAATAAAATTAAATAAAAAATTTAATAAAAATTATGTTAAAATTAAAAAATTAAAAAAATGACTGGAAAAGAAAAAAATTATTTTAAATAAATTTTGAAATTGTTTACAAAATTCAAAAATTTTTAAAGAAATTTTCAACGATGAAAATCACAAAAATATTAAAAAATTTAATAATTATGATCGTTTATAAAAAAAATTTTAATTTAAATTCTTATCTATCTATTTAAAATTTATTTATCAAAAATAAATTTTTATTTTTTTGAAACTCCATTCCATTATGTTTCGTAATTTATCATCTCTTTGCAAATTTTTTGCATGTAAGTTTTTTTTCTTTTCTTTTTACTTAAATTCAACATTTTTTTATTTATCTATAAATATTATTGTTTATGAAAACCTTTCATAAAAATTTAAGAAATAACTATAAATATATGAGCTATAAATATATGTGGCCCTACTAGCATATCAGCCTAAAAGCCTACTGCCTACCAGGCTATTAGCCCATCAGTCTAGTCCATCTACCAGCACACTAGTCTATAAGCTTTCCAGTTTATCAGCCTACCAGCCCACCACCGCATCGTACTTACCATCTCACCAACTTACCAGCCTAGGAATTCCACTGATCTATCAACAAACCAAAATATAAATATAATTATTATATACTTCGATTAATATGTGTAATATTCAAGATAAGATAACCAAAATTCTACTTTTAATTCAATTTACATAATTAGAATTACAACTTTTTAAAAATTATAACTTTCATTACCAATTCACTACAGCAATTTCCACGTCCATTTTCAATTTCTCAGTCACTATCAATAAATTTGTATAAAAATAAATTCAAGAAATTTTTCAGGAAAAAAAAACAATTAAAACAAAAATAAAAAACAAAAACAATTATAAAATTAATTTTAAAAAAATCTTTCATAAAAATTTAAAAAAAAATGGAATTTTCTTAGATAAAAATTTAATTCATCCACTAATTATTATACTTCTTTCTTAACACTCACTGATAAAAAAATCTTTTTGACAATTAAAATTTCTAAACAAAAAAAGGATTTATCAAAAGGCGATATGGAATAAATCGTATTGAATCATATTTCATATTTCATAAATCGTATTTCATATTATTTCATGAAATAAAATAAAAATTTTACTGAAAAACGAATATAAAAATAAGAAAACTTATTGTCCTAAATGGATTATTAATCCTTCAAAATGAAAATCTGACGATTGTTTAGCTTTTTAATAAAAATTGAAACGATCATTTTCCTTCTTTCCCTTCTTCCTCTTCATCAATCTAACATCCAAATACTTTTAATAAAATATTAAACCAAATTATTATATTTTTTTTATTTTTAATTTTACATCATTAATGACAAATTTCACAAATCATTTAAAAATTTACTAAAAATTATCGAGTAAAATAAGTATTTGGGAAATATTTATACAATATTTACATAAAATATAGCAAAAAGGATAAAAATGCATAAATTTATTTCAAATCGGAAATCAAATTACCAAACTTTTAATCTAATTCGCTAATTAAATTTTCATTTTATATAAATTTACATTCATATTTGTTTATATATATTTTGAATATAATTTATTTTAAACAAAAATGTATAAAATTTATTGAAAATTTTAATAAATAAAGAGAATATTAAATTTAAAAAAATAAACTTTTTAAAGAACTATGTGGTAGGTTTCTTCATTATTTAAAAATCATTTAATAAAAATTATTTTTTAATAGAATTTTTCTCTCTCTAAAATCACATCGCATTTCATCGATAATTAACATAATTAAGTCTTCGGATAATCGAATTCTTTTTTCAGTGATTTAAGCAATAGAAATAATCCATAGTAACCGCATTAGCGTCACATAATATTTCTTATTTCCTTCGTTTTATTTTATATAAATATAAAATTTTATTTTATATTTTATGTATAAATAAAAATCATTATTATTATTAAAAAGAATAAAATTGTAAAAAAATGTTTGATAAAAAGAATTAATTAGAATTAATTTCCTTGCACTATTTTCTTCGTATTATTGAACATATTTTTGTGAACTACGAATAGGTAAATTCACAAATTCACAATTTATCTAAAATTATCTTATTCGACCAGAAAAAAACCAATTAGGAATTTGCATAAAATTAAAATTAAATTAAAAAAATAAATTATACTGTTTTCGAGGTGAAAAATATGTAAAAATAATAAGAGAAATTTATAAAAAATTGTAATAATTTATAATTTATAAACAATAAAATAAAATTTATAATTTATATATTATATATTTATAATTTATAAACAATAAAATAAAATTAAATTAAAAATAAAATTTATGACAAAAAAAGAAACATTGAAAAGTATAAATGTATTTATTAAATATATATTTTAAATATAAATATAATTTGTTTTAATATAATTTTAAGTATAAAATATATATATATATATAAAATAATTATACATAAAATAATTCTGGATAAATTTAAAATTTTGGCAAATATTAATAAAAAAATTTCAACAAAAATTAAATTTCAAACACCATTTAAAATATCTAAGATATTCAAATTTTTTAATATATTTTACAAATTCTTTTGATATTTAAATATTGATATTTACATTAATTATATTGTTTTGATATTGATATTTACATTATTTACATTAATTTATTTACGTTAATAATATATACATTAATTTGAAAATAAAATATTTATTTTGCAAAAAAATGTCAGAATTATTTTGCTTTAATAAATCCTTTTATAACAAAATCCTTTTTATCATTGTTCGTGCTGATAGATGAGGAACTACGATATTTATAATTAAAATACGGGATATTTTAGTTTAGCTTTAACTGAAGAATTAAGAGAAAGAAATGAAAACGAACCATTAGGATTAGAATCAATCCTAAGGCGAGCTGAAAATGGCCCTTGACCTTTTATTGTTGCAGCAGCTACTTTAAATATATATGCTTTTCTTGAATTTATATCATAGGTGACCGATCTGCCACTTGTTACCTGAAATTCAAAATATATTTTCACGGTGAGTGAAATTTGGTACGAATATATCAGCTTTCTCTTTTATCTTTTCCTTATTTTTCACCTAAAAAACTAACATTTTTTTCAAAATTTTGATTAATCGAATCGACTGGTGTTAAAATTGCTCGATAATAAGTAATATTGCCATTTTGCTGCGCAATATTCGGTGCATCCCAACTTATTGTCATCTGAAAAACTATCATTTATAATAAAAATTTATTTATAAAAAAATTAATTAATTAGAACTTTTGAAAATTTTATATTATCGAAAATGCTATATTATCGAAAGAAAATCAAATTAATGAAAAAATTATAATACAAATTGAAAAGAATTAAAAATCATAAATCCATTAGAAGGTATGTGCATTAGGACATCAAAAAATTACGAACATATACTGATATGATTAAAGAAAAAAAAAAAAGTTAAATAAATATTTCGCATTCTTCCTTTAACAGTATTCATTATTTTTGGTTTGACTGATTTCAGTGGCTACTAAGGTGATAACGTTTCACCAGAGAGTCACCTTAGGATGGAGCTACATTCCCCAACGTCATTCCAATCTTATATATATGTTGTTCAGAGGTACAAATCGCTTTGTTAAATACATCATCAATAAATTTTATTGTAAATAGTATTCGCATCGACTAAGGGGTAACATCACCGAATGTAAAAGTTGCTTTTGAAGTCGACCGCTTTCATTGCCTTGCTTTTGGTTCCTGTACGGACCTCTTATCCTTTCCTTGTGCCGCCAAAGCTATATTGCTTTTTCTCCTTTGATCCTTTAGCAATTTTTGCCCAAAATTGTTTTTATTTTTTGTTGATATCGTCGGCCTTCAAATCTTTTGTTGATTCCAATTTTTGTCACCAAGCCACCTCTACTAATTGTTGATTACTGTTTTAATTCTTTAATTGATACTGACTGATTCCGATTTGCAACTTCAAAAGGGGGTTTCCGGAACCGTTCGGCGATAGGAAACAACTGATGTGGCATGAATGAAGATTTCTCTCGAGCAATTACTTGCAATACTTAAAAATCCTTCGTTCGATCAAAGAATCATTCTTCATCTATTTGCTCAGCTGATTCGATAAAGTTTTTAACGAGGATTTCACAAAGATGAATCGATCACCCACCACCCCAATCCAAGTATTTCAGATCTTTGATTGTCAATCATTAAAACATAATGTTGTAATATATTCTACAGAAATGCAAAGAGAAATGCCGCACAAAATTAAACAACAGAACATTTAAAAAAAAAAAAAAACGATAACAAAAACTTTTAAATTTAAACAATAAATCTTTCATTGTAAATATATAGCTTTTGGAAGACAATTTTCCTGCAAATTGTTTAAAAAAATATCTTAAAATAAATATTTTAAAATATTTAAAATATACATTTATAAATTTCCATTTTATTCAAAAATTCACCGATGAGAATAATTCAGTTCAAACAAAAAGTGTTAAAATATATAAAAATTAGACGTAAGGAGAAGTTCATAAATTTTTATGGTAAATTTACGAATAATAAATACATTAAAGAATTAATAAATCGTCATTTGAAAGCAAATAAAATAAAACAAGTGGTTGGTATTATTAACATTCACTCTTTCTGATTGCAATTAGCTCATAGTAGCGATTAAAATTAAAAGAATTTGATGATCACTTGATGATAGAATGTGCAGATAGATCTATTAAAAAAATCTAGCAAGAAAATAACGATAATTCTGACGATAATTTGAGCAACAACCATTCGGCTATACTGCCCCCTTCGAAAATAAAATTATTCTATGAATACAACAAAACTACTGAATATTGCTAAAATTTTGAAAATATATATTTTGGCTACAATATACAATTCTAGAAAATAATTTCTGATAAAAAAATCTTAAATTCTATAAATATATATATAAAATAAAAAAGAGAATAATTATGGAGGAAGAAAGTGAAAATAAACTTAAAAAAAATATTGTAACAACAACTGTGCATTTTATATCAAAACAATAATGATCAATACCGAAATATTATTTATTATTACACAAAAATTTATTTTATTTATTTTTTCAAAATCCATTCAATACGAATGTTTGCTTAAATTTTTCAAGGAAATACTGAAACATATAATAATGAATATCTTTTCATAAAATTTTTCTGATTTAAAACGAATGAATTTATTCGTAAAGAAAAGATGATTTTCAAAAATTGATGAAATACGATAATAAAATAAAATATGAAATAAACCATAAAAATTTTACATACTGAAAATTTATGAACGAATTTTTTTTTTTCCTTTTTTCCCATCTGTTCTAAATTTTTCCATAAATTTTTTATATAATTTTACAATTCTTTTCAATTATATAATCATTCCAATTTCTTAATTTGATAAAATTTTTCAATTTTATTAAAATAATTTATCGCTTTTTCACCGAACTTAGTAAATTCTTTCTTAAATCCAATTCAATAAATTAATTCACAATAGAAATTCAAAAAATTTTTCGCTCAACGATGGGCGAATTTTCAATATTATTGCATTCTTTTCCTTGGATGTTATTTAAATTATTTTTATAAATTATTTTTATTTTATAAATTATAAATTAATTTTTAAATTAAAATAATTTAATTTAAATAAAATTTAAATTGTTTCAAAGCATTCGCATAAACCTATTTAAATTATGTTATACATAAAAACTATCAAAAATATTCTTTTGATATAATTTTCTTATATTTTTTCTACAATAATTCTTAAGTTTATTTAAAAATTTGAATGAATTCGCATAAGATTTCAAAAAATACCTGTTCCCCATTAATTTCATAGCGAATATTTGTTGGTTCAGATTCTGGAATTCCAATTGGTGTCGTCAAGAATTCAGTTGCATTAATACTTAGTCCATCATCATTTTCAGCCGCTACATTTATTTCATATAATTTCCCCATCACTAAATTTATTTATAATGTTATATTTAAAACAATAATAATTGTATATTGTCTCAACATTTCTGTGTTCATAAATGACTGTTAAAATCGATGCTTGGATTTGAAAATTGTAAACTATAGATTATAAAGGATATTAAGAAAATAAACTATATTTATTACTTATGTTCAATTACACATAAAATAATACGTAGTTAATCCGACTGCACAACTGTACCTCTAATCGGCCATCTCTAAATGATTTTCTAGCGAAAAAGCCAAGCATTTGGTTGATGCAAGCAAAAGAGAGAAATTAAGAATGGTGAAAAAAGGAGATTACATAGAATAAAATGTATTATTAAATGTATAATGTAATGTATTATTTTATTAGACAAATGACATTTAAATTTTGAAAAATATATTAATTAAAAAACCATAAAAAATAACCAACTTAAGTTATGCAGTTCAACATAATTCTGTGTCGATGGTACTTCTAATCTTTTATATTCTTGTATTTCTGATGGTTTGTACCAAATTATATATCTATTTATCGGCAAATTATATGTTATCTGAAATAAATTGTGATAAAAATTGAGAAAATACAGGAAATTTGAAATAAAAGTTGTTTATTTTATAGGACAAAAAGAATAATAAAAATTATTTTAAAAAATTTTGCAGATAACTGATAAATTTTCTCAAATTTTCGACAATAATACTTTCATTTGATATTTTTTTTCATAGTTTCACATTCTATTAAACTTTATTAAATTTTCCACATCTATATAGTCATAACCAAACAATAAAAATATTTTAAACCATTTGAATTAAACCATTTCAATTCAGGAACAAAAGATCAAAAAAAAATAATGGATCTGCTTTAAATATCCAATAAAATTTCTACTACTTTTGCTGTTCTCGAGTTGGAATATTTAAGATGTTTCATTTAAAAAATTTCAAAATATTTTTAGCAACAATATTACTATCACGTTCATTCCTATAATCACTGTAATCATCTGTAATCTCTATTCCTATAACAAAAAATTACTCATTGGATAATTTGCATAATTAAATTGCTCTCAAGAAATCTGTAGAAATATCTTGTTTTTAAAAAAAAAAGAGGAAATGATTACTTTTGGTGGTTTCCAATCAAGACGTGCACTTAATGGTGGTTCTTCTCTAGTTAACGTCACCGACTGTGTTATTGGTTCTGATGGTGCTATAATTTTTTAATATATAAATGAAAAAATAATATTTTTAGATTTGAAATGGATATTAAAGTAAAAAAAAAATCCCTATAAAATAAGAAAGATAAAATGGAGAAAGAAAAGAAAATTATTGTCATTTATTTAAGATAAATAGGATAGAATAAGAATAAGATAAACAAATAATTAAAGTTTAATAAAATATGCTTCATTAAAAGCCTAAAAGGCCTATTTAAAGCAGCCTAAAATGAATTTATTCGCCAATTAAATAAATGAAAAATACTCAATAAAGTTCTTTTGGAAAAAACGAAAACTTACGCAATCCAGAGGTTAAAATTTTTTTAGTAGAACTAAATTCACCATCACCAAAACGATTAAATGCGTTCACTCGAAATGAATATTCAGTATTTGGTTCCAAATCTGATATTATCGTATGCGTCTTCTAAAATAATTTTTATCTTTTGGAAATTTTAAAAAAAATTTAAAAAAATTTTTCTCTGAAACAAATACAAATACAAATAAATATCTTAGGTTAGTCTAACACTTGGAAATTGGATTTGGATTCTCAAAAAGCCAAAAAAAGGCGAAGAAATGAAGATAAATTGGCACTAAAAATTAAGTGGTTTGATCGATTTTAGTATCGAAGGCATAAAACAAAAAACTGCGGAATATTGCTATTCGAATGAAGGTAAAATAAAAATGAGTTTAGAAAACCCCTACTAAGCCCATTCTATGGTAATAAAAGATCATCTCAAAACTAGATTCTCAAATCTGGAATTCGAATTTCGCCGTAATTTAAAAAAAAAAAAACGATTATGCAGAAGGCAAGTATTTAGAGTGCACGGGAAAGATTTAATGGGTCTTAAAATAATACGACGGGGTTTGAAGATAAAATTAAGGGATTGAAGAAAATATAAAAGGAAAATAACGGAACTTCAACGGCTGTTAATGAGACTTAGAATGGTATTAAGCGTATGAAACTATTTTGAAATGGCAAACGTAAAGACGATAATTGAGGAGTAAAACGGGGTTCGAAATGGATATTAAAAGAGTATAATTGCTTTGGTTGTATAACATTGTCAAATATTTATGCGGATAAATCCTAGAAAAGCCATAAAATTTTTGCAAATTCTGAAAATTTAACGAGGAATAGAATCGCTAATTACCTTATTGGTTCTTCTTACTTTGAACCATCGACGCTCAATGGGTTCCATTCTAAAAAAAAAAAAAACGACAAACCTGCTTATCGTAAATAATTGCTCGTTGCAATTTATTATTAACCGGTTCACCGTTATACAATTTATCCTTATAAATATAGTAACCAATAATTTCGCCATTTTCTTCGAATGGTTTTTCCCAACTTATTTTCACTGTTGATGAATTTATTTGAATTATTTCCAAATCTCGTGGCGCTGATGGGACTGAAAAATCATATAAAATCTACTTTTTCGTAAAAAAAAAAAAATTATTATTAAAATTATAATTTTAAAATAATTTTTATTTTTTCTTTCTACTGTTAATTTTATTATCATTATTTTTATTATTAAAAAGTCGTTAATGTTAATATTTTTCAAATAATATAATAATGAACTTATAAAAATAATATTATTATTAAAAATAATAATATTATTTTTATATTAAATCATTTTTTATTTTCGCTTGTTTTGTTTTTTAAAAATATTAATTTTAAAAAATTTTGAATTTTTAAATTTAAAAAACAAAAACGAAAAAAAATATTAAAATAATTTAAATATTTAAATATTTAGTACATAAAAAAAGCATGCAAATGAATTTTATTCCAAAATTATAAAAAAAACTCGATTGGTGAATTAGTTGAGAGAAATATTATCGAACGGCAAATATAAAAAGCTATATTCGAATTAAAAATAAAAAACAGAGCCATTCGATGAAATTCGATCGTTCGATAAGCGTGGCACTTTCTTGCCAATTGATAATTGATAACTGATAATTATTGATAACTCGAGCATTCGCCCGTTAGGTAATAAAATAGTTACTTTTCCATTCAAATGGCAGTTATATGTTTATTAAAATGACAATTAAAAATAGTAATAAAAATAATTAAAATATAGAACTAACCTTTTTGTAATTTTTTAAATGTTTTTTCACAAATAATTAAACAATAAAAATTAATAAATAATAAAAATTTTCTCGCCACATAAGGCATTTGCTGTTTTCTTTTCTTCTATGGTTAAATCATTTTTTTTTTTATTTTTAAAGATGAATTCGACTGATCTGATCTGAATTAATCAAAAGCGATCTAAGTCAATCAATAATGATCTGAATGAAAACGATAAACATCGCACTGCGAAAATTTTTGATAAATCAAAATTGACTAAACTATTATCACTACTATCAATTATCATCAAATCGTTATCTCTTACGATTATTACTGTTATTATATCAATCAATTTATCAGTAATAATAGATAGCTCGAATAGTCTATTAGTCAGTTGCAACAGATTCACCTTAATCTCAAAACAACCAATCAAACGCAGAAATAATAAGTGATGTCCAACGAAAAAATAAGCCACGCAGGTTTTATCAGTGGTGATAATAACAGCTATGATAAGCGGTCTTATCACATAGTAGTGATAAAAATTTAAAACTCGATAAAAATCTCTAATATAATAAAAAATAAAAATTTTCTATAAATGGCGAAATGGTTTTAGAAAATAGAAACAACGCAACGCAATATGAATACGCGTTGCGTTTTCCATACTATTTTTAATTTGCAAGAAATGAACACATCACAAGCAAAGCAACCAATTGGTTCATAATAGAATAGACTGTGTGATTGACAGGGAAGTACCACGGCGAATATCTAGGTCACGGGATTTTACAAAGCACTGCGCAACGTTTTATAGTCCATGGGGGCGAAACAAACGAGTGATTACTCCTCTTTTAAGGTTATTTTCGCAAAGCTTGAAGCCTGCTTTCAATAACATTGAATAAAATCAGAATGGTACTATGCATTCATTTGTATTTCTATCAACAAGTATCTATCCTTAGGCACATAAAAAATTTCTCAACGTCAGTGCAAATAAGATAAGCGCTAATTGCTTTAATATTACCTTACTTCCTTAGCAATTATTTATTTTTCCATTAATCATAATCCTGTAATTTCCATTCCTTCTTTCCTTTTTTCTTCATTTTCATTCCTTTATTCCTTTTATTCCTTCTATTCCTTTATTCCTTTATTATAGTTATACTATAGTTATATAGTCTTAAAAATGAACCAAATATCATATTAGAAAGGATTGAAAAGGATTGTTTTAAATTTTAAATAATTCAAGATTTTTTTTGGAAAATTGAAAAATTTTTAAAACCATATTACTACGAAACATTTTTCAAATATTCCCGAAAAAAAAAGAAAAAAATTTGGAAAAAGTAAAAAGAATGAAATATGGTAAAGAAAAATAAATATAAATATTATAGTTGGAAAATTAAATTTGAATAAGTTTTCTCCAATAATTTAAATTTTAAATTTTTAAAAAAACTATATTTCTCATTCGCTTCATTTGAAATTTTTCGATAGGCAAATGATTGGTTATTTTAATGAAATACAGTAGCAATTTGAGAATTTGAGAATTGCACTCCTTCCCTGAGCACTCATCGTTGTTTTTAGAAGAAGAATTGACCATTGGTTCCTTCTTTAAGTAATATTTAATATGTATGGATCTCATCAACAAAATAGATTTTCTAATAGATTTCTAATAGATTTTCTTCATTGAGCTCTATTAGATGAAGCGATAATAATCAACGAAAGACCATATTCCTCAAGGAATTAACCACAAATAAATCACATTTAAAAACAATTAATCAAAAAATCGCTAATATTTTAGTTTTGCTTGCTTTTTATTCATTTTAAAAATATTTATATTCCAATATCTTTAAAAAATTTTTAAAAATTCTTAAAATTAATAATGCATTGTCACAAAATTGATAAGGATTCTGATAAGTGAAGGATAAGGATTTTTTAATAATTTTCAACTAGGCGATAGACGGAATTATGGATATTATTTTCTGGTATTTAAGAGGAGCATAGATTAATAGGGATTCTAAATACGCTCATATTCTATCTAATCATTTTTTGTGGATTATCATTAGAAAAAGAATTAGAAAAAGAACACATTTTAGAAATCTATCGATAACTGTAGCGAAAATGAAATCCGAAATTGATAAATCCCAAATTATTGCAAATAATTTTTTCTGGATACTGATTTCAGCCAAAATCATATATACCAAGTTCAGGAAAATATTATATGATACCTCTGCATCAAATGGCAAAAAAAAAAACACCGATTTCCGAAACACTTTCCACTAACTCTCATTGCGAATGGCCGACTAGTAGACAATGTTCATCCAAAAATGCTTTCTTGCATCTCGAGAAACCTTATAAAATCGCCATAAATCAAATGGGTGATGCGAAAATTAGCATCTATCCGGCTGCAATCCGCGCAATCCTATTACATGGTCACAAAATAGGATGAATATCAAAAAAAAATGTTGTAGCGAGAAGCAATAGCAATCTGCCTTTGATAATTTATGCCCTAACGCGTATTATAAATGCCCGATGAAGGAAGAGAATCTTTTACGATTCCATCCACATTCGCTAAAAACTGCATTAATATTAATATATTAAAATGGCCAACGTTGAGAGAAAGCCTACGCTATTAGAAACATAATCATTATCGCGCATTGTCACAAGACATCAAAAGCGATTCCGCCAAAATTCGCATTGGCATTGGTACTGGAGAGATTTTAAACAAATAGGTGGGCCAAGCGAAATATGGGCTTACGAAGAGGAAGAAAGATTAACTTCTGATTAACTTCTGTTCTGCGATTCTCATCGGAAAGATTCATTAATGCATCCACTGCAACCAGTCTAATCGTTAGTGGTGCGAGTTAGATGGGAGAAAAAAAATTAATTTTTGCGAAATTTGATGGAATTTTGCATTAATAATAAATATTAGCAATATATTTTTTCTCCTTTAAAATATTCCACCTTGAAATAGAAATTAGAATAGACTTGCTGCTGAAATTTATCACGCATGGTACCGAAGTTTAAAGAATGGTGTATAGTTAGGAGGATAAAGGAAAATTTATAAGTTTATTCGACTAAACTTAGCGATTCTATTCCTTTCACTTGACAGGAATAAATGGGACAGGATGGCTCAGTGACTTGTTGCTCAATTCGAAGCTCCGATGTTGAGGTTCTCTTCCCAACAGGAGTCTTTTCAAAAATTGGGGTGGTTAATGGCTACTCACTTGTACTTCTATCGCTAAGGAAACTCCTTAGCATATTTATCCAGTGCGATAAGCAAACGGAGCGAGTTTAACCAGTAATGGTGAGGACTCTTAAAAAAAAATTTTATCAGTAAAAGTGAAAACCGTAGTACAACTGGAGAATTTAGAGATACATCTTTATTAAGCCATTCATCGCCGTTAAAGTTCCCATTTTTCAATAATTCAATATCAATATCACTACAGTTAAATAAACCAGAAATGATATATAAGCGATTAGACGATAACAATTCTAATTTGGAAATCTTTTAGTAGATTTTTGTTAATGATTGTATATTTATCAATAAATTAAAAAATTTATTCATTTTTTCTTTTATTTTTAGTTTTAGAATAGATTTTTTGAAAATTAAACTATTAAATTATGGTTATTTTAAAAAAAAAATCCGAAAAAACAATATAAAATTGAAAATGAATATTAAATTATTTATAAAAGAAAATAAAATTCGCAAAAAATAAATAAATAACCGAAATTGATAATATTTTGGTTGATAAATTATTTCTACAATTACCTTCTATAAATATGTCAATTCCAAATCAATAAAAAAATATTAAAGGCTCTTAAAAAATAGTACTTTTTTGTGGAATAGTAATACTAATAATACTGGGGATAGGATGGCTCAGTGAGTTGTTGCTCAATTTGGAGCGCCGATGCTGAGGTTCGATTTTTCGCAAGAGTAAAGTTGTCCAAAAATCCGGGTGATGCTGGCGACTCATCTATATTTCTATCACCAAGGGACTCCCTGCTTTTGCTCATTTTGCCCAATGCGACAAGCCAGCAGAGCGAGTTTAACCAGTAATGGTGAGGACTCTTAAAAAAAAAGACTAATAATACTAATACTTTTGTACAGAAAATCCACATTTTCTATAAAAATTTTAAAAATTATTGCAATAACTGTTCTCATATCGTTCGGATTAATTCGTTTTAACGAGATCAATTCGATTCTATGCGGTTCAAAGAAAATTTTATTGTGAATAAAACTTAAAATTTAGAGAGTCGATTTACGAAGAATTTGCTGATTCGCTGATCTGAACAATTTTAGGCTAAAAATTTATAAGAAATAAATTCAATGTTCTGGAAAATTTATATATAACTGAATGAAAATGATAATTCGAATATTTAATTTATGAAAAATTTAGAAAATTGTATTCAATTTTTTTTTCCAGGAATTGGTAATTTTCAATAAAAGTAATGATAATCGAGTTTTTTTTAAACCAAAAAAATAAAGAATACGACAATAACCATTCATAAAAAATAAGAATACGATAAACCATTTAACGATAAGCGAAACTGATAAGGGGAAAAATGATAAAAGGAGAAAATGACAAATTTTAGAAGAAAGAAATACATTCTAAAATATGAAAAAAGAAGGAAGATTAGAGAAAATTTTAATGAGAAAAAAGGTAAATTATCCTAAATAAATAAAATAAGTAAAATAAAAGTTTTTCGCCCGAAAATTTGATAAATAAGAAGATAAACAATTTAATCAGAAAAAAAAGTAAACTAATCGAAGAACGATGAAAAATTAGAAAGTTAAGGAGAAAAAAGAAAAAAATAATAGTAATGGAAAATGGATTAGAAGGAATGTTTGTCAAGGACTTCGTCCTTCACCAAGGTCGTATATTATAAATGCGATTTTATTATTTCTCTCCTCATTCATACAAAAAATATTTATTTTAAAACCGTGAAAACGTGTGAGGAATTAATCCATCGTCAAATTTACGTAACGCTTCCTATTATGATATTAATATATCGATCCAAATTGATAAAATATTATCAGCTGTATGGCCGGGTGGTTATTCCTTATATATTATCATCTCGAATTGAAAATTCAAGTGATTAAAATGATAAACATTTGGACTCGACGAAAAAATTTCGAAAGAAGTCAACCAATCATTAAAAAATCCAAGTGGTGCTGTAGGCTAAGTTGTATGCTATACGCTATCACGCCTAAACGAATTCATGGCAAAAATTTCGACCGTGGAGCGCTATTGATAAACATGCTTAAATCAACTGAACAATATAAATAATTAATTCAACCAGTCGACTGTAACGTAACCGATCGCATATTTCTATCCTAAATGACCTATTTTTAAGGAAAATTGTAAAATTTAAAGAATCGTTTAACAATTTATTTATAATAATCGTGATAGAACTGAGCGAGAAGAATGAATGAAAATATTTCGAGAAGCAATTATGAAGATGCTGGATAAGATAGTCAGCTGGTGGTCATCCGGTCAATGCATTTTTATTAATTAAACAACACAAACGAATTATCGATTTGAACAAAATTCTATTCCCATGAGTTTAGTTCATAACAAATGGCCAATGCTTTGATGAATTTTGAAAATTGAGTGATAAAAATGATAAAAAAAAGATAAGGCATTTTATTTAAAAATAAATTAAATGATATAA